ATCACCTAGCAAAGCAGAAAAGATCTGTGACAAAGACGCTTCTGTTCCGGTCTGATTCGACGATCCGGTCCAGGATGTTGAGGGACGATAAGAGGGCCGCCGAAGCTCATTTGCCGTTCACCCGTCTCGCCAAGGGCTTTAGCGGCTTGGCCAAAGTGGGCGGGGGGGAATTCGGGATGGCAATCCTGGGAAAGCCAGGCCGGGAACATCCGGAACAGCGGGGTAAGAGGGTCTGTTTTGAAAGGCTGGCCACTCAAGGATTTGATATATACGGTCGACCACAACTAAGAAAGAGCTCATTCAGCTTATACTAATTCCCAAGATTTCCCAGACTGCCAGGTCTAGGTTCAGCTAGTGCCGCCAATGACCAGATCCGACCAGATCCACTTCTGGTTGGAAGATGATGACCCCAAGTTCTGGAGGGTCCCAGACCCAGAGAACACCTGCAAGTGGAGCCTCTCAGGGGAGACTTACAAGGCCTTGTGGCCTCGAAGGGAGCGTTGGAGAAGCGAAAGTTGTAGTCTTCGCCCCAGGTCTATAGATTTCGTGTGAAATCCAGATAGATGAGTTCTGATGAGTCATGATGAGTTATCAGTCCTCACTGAAAAGTAAAAACTCTCAGTTCATACACCGAAAATCATCCTAGGACATCGCTTTCTTCATCCCTCCGCACTCCCAGACACCGTTCATCGCCCCGTCCACCGTCCCATCCGTCCCGAAGCGAAGCGACCGCCGACCGGGCCGATGGGCCAGGCGGTTGGGTCTCCTTGGAGCACAAAGAGAAGTATGCAGGTGCCTTGGCCCCGGGTCCGGGTATCCCTCAGACGGAGGACCGGGTTTGACCGGATTTCTTTTGGTTGTGGTCTTTTTGGGGGGTGCATGGGGTGAAAGGATGGGAACGACCTGTAAGATGGAGGTGAACGGTTTCAGAGAGAGTGTCCAATTGGAACATACATCGCCAAGAGCGAATGGATGAGCATCATGGGCCACAATTTGTCTTCCTTAACCTTGGTTGCGTCCTTCCTCGTCCTTCCGATGTGGATAGCAAGTGTACAGTACTACCAGGCATATGGTGGGGTGATTCCAACAGTGGTCCTCCCTAATGAAATCGCTGAAGAAATAGATGGTGCTGATGCTTCAGTTGCGGGGCAGACGGAGGTTGCTTGATTGACGATGTCTCAGTAGAGCCGGGCCACACCAGGAAATCCTTATTTGTGGGAGATATAATATATAGGCAAGCCGTTTCTTCAAGAGGAACGCCCGGTGAACAGTCGCCTCCCAGGATCCATTTTCATCGATGTGGTCCTTGCGGATGGGCCACCGCCGCGAGCGCAACGCACAGCGACCGTTTCTTCTACGGGCACTGTACCGACTCCCAGGAGCAGAGCCCAATCTGAGGAAGTGGCGGAACAGAAACTTGGAATGAGAACTCACAAAGGTTGTTGATAGCGGGGTGTGTGTTTTTTGTGAAAACGATCCATTGACCAACCAATGAGTGTTCGTTGTATCAGGTATGTGTTCGTTTTGGGACACACCCTGTGTTGAGGCAAAACCTGATCACAAACACCAAAGAGAAAATTGTCCAGGCAAACCAAGCGAACTGCAGTTTGTCCTGTTCATGAAGCCAGCTGCGTAGAGAGCTGCTGCTTGCACTTGCCAAAAACACTTCAGTACCAATTTTATGTATCATCTTGAAGAGCTGATCAGTTTGCTGAAGGTTTGCATGGCTTGAAGATGCTTGAAGTGTTGTGTTCATTTCTAAACATGGTCGACTACTCGACTACTAAAGGCCTTGTTTGTGGAAAATCAGGCCGTGGATGTTTGTGCTATTTCCAAAAAACTTAACGAACGACGATCGAAGTGAGCAAGAGAGCTAGAGTATATAGTTGAGAAATGTTGTTACTAATAGCTTCTTGTTACCAGTAGTAGTGCCCTTGTTACTAGTCCCGATGCACTTGTTACTAGTAGCGAGTCTCCTAGAGTCCCAGGAAACTTTCTTCTGCACCGATGCTGGAAGCGGCAAGCTAGTGACATATTAATGGCTTGTTTGACATCTTATAGTGTTTACTGGTTGTATGGTCCTGATCAGATTTTATCTTAGAGGGTTCAGATATATAAATACATATAATATACCGATAGATGAATTTGTTGGTATATAGATTAGATCATGGATTGGAGAATATAGATTATATCATGTAAGATGATAGATAGATAGATTTGGTTTCCTTAAAGTGAACGTTCTATGTGTTTTTCAAACTCACTTTGGGAGTCCTTTGTCCACATGTGTTTTTGCTTGGACTCAGCTCAAGACTGGGCAACTGAACGAGGTGGACACTTCCACGCGAAAAGACATTGCTTGCAAGCTTCACGAAGCCAGGGCTGACTGACCTTTTGCACGCAAAATACGGCTTACACCTGTCAAGAAAGCCACTTTCGAAGACGAGGCAAGCCACCAAACATTGTGAGACACTTTAGGCTCGTTTGCAGCTACAAGTTGTTTTAGGGGAACCTCCCAGACATCTAGACCAACTTGGTCAGCGACGCTGAGCGTTGTTCGAACTGGTCACCAGTGATATGTTGCAACCAAAGCTAGGGTCCCGGCAGGTGGGCCGCTGCCTTCGTCGTGAAAGACTCCCTGACACTTCTCACCATGTCTGGCTTTGGAACATTAGGCCACAAGAGGCCAAATCCTTAAGCCGGCTAGGGAAGTGGACCTAAGCAGACTTGCTGACCGCCTATGACTTGCTGACCCTGATGGACCCTGAATGGGCTGGGCTTGCTGACTCTGCTGCATGGACTGGGCTTGCTGACCCTGCTGCATGGACTGTGCCTCAACTTGCCTTGCTAATGGACTTGCTTGACCTTGCTGATGGACTTGCTGACCATGATGCGTGGACTGTGTCTCAAAGCCACCCTGGCCTTGCTTGCTACTAGGCTACCCCCGAAGAAGACTCCGAAGGGCCGGCTTATTTCATTCATGCCTTTGAAGTGCATTTCCATCGTAGTCATGATCGGGCACGATCTGACAGTGGGGAGACATATAGCGCCAGCTTTTTTGAGAAGGCCTTCATGAGAACACGCGAAGGTTCATGGTGGGGGGGTCAGACTCCATCAACGCTACGCTTGGCTCAGGTGATAGTGGTGTGGCTTTCGTTCGCCCAAGGAGCTATAACGACTATCATCTAAGGTTTGCTGGGCGCTCTCTCTCTCTCTCTCTTTCTTGTTGGGCGGGGCCCACTTGTGCTTCACCCGCTTTGCGTTTTGCACAGTATCTTTGAGGTCTGATCTGTAATCTTTCTGAGAAGGCCCTTGAGGAGATCAGGCAAAGGACCAACTGAAGCGCAGCTCACAGCAAGGAGGCGCACGTGAGCCGTTCTTTTGCTGCTCATGGCTCTGAGGTTCCGCTCTGATGACGGTGAGGACGAGATTGGCGAGGTTTTATGTGGCCTTGATGGGAACAGGGTCCGTTGGAAAAAAGTTTCCAGACGCACGTGGGATTGTGGACCCTAGCACTGGCCCGGGCTGTGCGCTCTTGAGGCTGCAGATAAGCACCCCCTATGGTTGTGGAGTTGCGGGAGGTTTGGAGCTCACAGCAAACCCATGGGGATTTGTATGCCCCACCATTGGAAAGCTCTCCCATGAAGTTCAAGGCCCAGCCATTCAAACTGCTAAACATTTGGCTCGCCCTGCACCTCTAAGCCAGTAACCAGTAATTCAAGGGTTGGAGCAGAATCGTTGGGGTATCGACTTGCACACACATTTGTATGGTAAAGCCACTTGCTTCAGGTATAGCTATCTTGGATGCAGAAAATGTGTCTGAGATTGCTTTTTGAATGCATTGTTTGTGCACATTTGCAATGAAGCCTTTGCCCACAGAGCGCTCTTGATGTTCTCCTCTCGAAGAGTTCGAAGGCAGACTCACAGGCGACGCCGGCGCCAACAAAGGCCAGCGAGCCTGCGGCAGAGCCGACAGGCAGCGCCGAAAGCAGAGCCGAAAGCGCGGCCAAAGGCAGCGCCCAAAACAGAGCCGGCTGAGCCGTGATGGGAACGTCAGCTTGCGCCTGGAGGACTTGGAGAGTACTAATCGCAAGAATGCAAAAGGCACTGTCGTCCACAAGTGGCAGGAAGGCTCAATGAGCCGAGGGCCGGCGCTCCCAAGCCCGCTCTGACCGACATGGGACCTTGATGAGCCGGGCGACAGTGTCAAGGTAATGACGTTGAAGGCGGCGCAGTGTGTGGTATCCGTTTCTGAGCAATCGAAATTCCAACCCTCGATCTACAAACGCCCCGTTGGACATTCCATCGTGAGTCACCCTCAGGATCTACAGGTGTCCACCAAGATTTGTGGCTGCCTGCCTCACCTCTAAATTCCAATCAATAATGTGACCAATGTTTATGGCCACAAGGCCCCAGCTTCCTCGACAAAGCTTGAGTACGCGCAGCGACAGTTTCCTGTATCTCAGCAAAGGTTTGCAGGACTTGTGAGCTTTTAGTTTCTTGAACAAGTGGGCACAGCTTTCTGAGGAACCAGGTCCTGCAACGCAGAACTCGTGAGCTTACATGTTTGAAACAAGTGGACACAGCTTTCTGAGGAACCACTGGTCCTGCATCGAGGGCTAGTCAGGTCTGGTAGTTAGCCAGTAGAAAGATAAATAGAAAAATAGTTAGATTAGATTAGATTGGATAGATTAGACAGATTAGATAGATGAGATAGAACAGGATAGTTTAAGGTTAGATCGATAGACATACATATAGATAGATAGGTGGATAGATAAGTCAAGTCGATTAGATTGGAATAGATTAGATTAGATACGGCAGATTAAATTAGGTTAGATATGTTGATTTGATTTGGTTTGCTGAGATCGATTAGATAGATAAGGTTAGAGTAGATTAGATTAGATTAGATTAGATAGATAGACAGATAGACAAATAAAGATATCAACATATAGAACATCTCCATTCTGTCCTTGACGAGTTTGGCAAGCTCACCGGCAGTGAGGATGGCCATCTTGGCCAGCATCCAACAGAGCTCCCCAGAGAATCGGGACGCACGAGCGCCAGTGGCTCGGTGTTTGGGGGCCAGCCCTGGGAGCTTTGGAGGGATGCGCCCACACAACAGGAGGGAGTGCTTTCGAATCCGCACACGGGACCTGCAGATGCGGACCTTTTGTAGATCGAACACGGGTTTTCTCGCGCGACATGTTGGATCCGTCGGGTTGGACCCGTACTGAACCAGAAACACGAAAACAATTCCTCAACATTTGATTGATCCAACAAGACTTGCACAAGGAGCTCATTACCCCAAGATTTCCAAAAACATACAATCAGATGGTTTCTAGATTTTATAGATGAGCTACCAGAGGATGGACACCCCAACATCAACCATTCACGTTTCCGATCTTTAAACAATTACAAGGTCACATACCATGCAATGCCATGCAACATTTGTTGACGACCGGTCCGGCTGGCTTGCTCCAAAAAATGCTGAAGAGCAAACTCTTTGCCGAAGGACTCCACCAAGTGGGGCGTACAAGAACGGTGGGAAATTAATGGAAATCATGGTATTCCAAAGTTTGCAAGATTTCTCTTTGTTTCTTTCCGGGGGCTGGGTTCGAAGGCAGATGAACTCAGTCGGGATGAACATCGACTTTGATTTGTTCTGACCTTCCCTGACAGCTGACAACTGACATGGATCCCACACTGAAAACCTCCCTCCGTCTTCAGAGTCTGCCCAGGCACAGCCAGCACGGCCGACGCAGAGCTCAGCTGTAGCTTGGCCAGAGTGGCCTAGCCAGGCGTCGGCCCGATTACCTGGACCTAAGAAATCTGAGAAGGCGGATCTTAACTAGTACAGTCCTCGCTCCTAGTAGCGATGGCCTCCAACGTAGTTTGCGATGGCCTCCACCTAATAGCGTCCTTGCTACTAGGATTAGCATGTTCATGCATTTTCCCTTCCTCAATGTGCACTACGGCAAGAGCCCAAAGCATGTAATTACAGGTTTCCAGGTGATGAACACCTTGCGAACGTATATCGATGTACCCCGTGCATTATTTCATGATGAAAGAGCGGTTTCAACCGTTCCTCAAACCAATCCTCAACCTGACACGTGTGTGGATGAAACGTCCAGGTTCCAGGCTGTTGTGTTTTTCGGTGTAAATCAACGATTTTGTCCCATGTTTCTGAGATAAGTGTAGATTGATATAGAATGTAATATAATATCATTGTATCAATTATACATTAAAATATACTAGGCTAGACTGTATTATGTTATTATATGTGGTGGGCCGGGCTCGAAATACCTCAATTGTGATCCTCGTCTATCCATCACATGATCGGCTGAGCAGCTGGGCTTCACTGGATCAAACCACTGCAACCGCAATCTCCAGGTTGGCTCAAACCTGCATGTTCCAGAACTTCCCTCCCAACAGTCAGTGGTTGGTTGAGCACAAAAGACAAAGATTCACCTGCCGGACTTGCTTTGGATCTGAAAAACATGTGATAGGACCGGAGATAGCACAATGTAGCATTCCAAAGCAAGTTATTTCGGGATTCTCATTTGGATTCGTGTGGAAGATATCAAGTTCGAGACAAGTCAAGTGATATAGCAGTTCCCAGCCTGCCAGGCCACCAATTGAGACCTGTTACGGCCCTTCCCGACCCTCTTCTCTAGAAACCCTTACAGTAAGGTAGCTTTTGACCGTAACGCCAGGCGCCGACCGCGCCCGCGGCACCGCCCTTGCCCGCGCCGACCACGCCGCCGGCGCTTCCGGAGCCCGCAGAGCCTCCTGAGTGGAGCCTCCGAACAGTGGATCGTCGGTCGCTGCGGCTCGAGAGCCTTTCGTCGGTCGAAACGGAGACGGAGGGGTCTCTGAGTCCATCGGTTCTTTTTTGGAAAATGGATATGAACGGAGGATTAGGATTTGCCAGGGTGTGATTCAACCCTGAGGTCTGAAGGAACGCTTTTAGACTAAAAGGTACGACATGGAGTTTTGGACCAGGGAGTGAACCAGCCTTTTCCAGCCTTTTCCCACTAAGGCCCATAGGGGCCCTAGGCTGAGAGGTCCATGACGCTTTTCGATGCTGTTCTTACTGTTGCCGCCCCTCATGAAAAGATTGGATCACAGAGGTGAGCTCCAGAGTGGAACCAATGCCAAAGCCTTGTCCCGTGTTTCCAAGGAGTTTGGTGCCCTGCTGATGTGGGTGTTTCATCTCATCCCGTCTCATGGCCTCTGTCACCGCATGCCCAAGACTGTGGTGTTCCATCAGGTTGGGAAGGTTCAGGCTGCCCATCAAGCTCAAAACGGCGTGTTTTGAAAACTATTAGAGGATAGGTATTGCATGGTATTAGAAACACGAACTCATGACTAGGCATGCCAATTTGACATGGGAACTTCATTCCTGAGGTCCATGAAAGCAGCTTTCACCTCTGAACCTGGGCCACTTCATCCCATCTTCAGCCCATCTGAACCTGGGACAACGGCACGCTCACCTGCATCCGCGAATCGCGGTCCTCTTGGTTTTTTCCCCCCTAGGATGCCCTGGCCCCGCTTCAGTGCGGCCCTGCAACGTGGAGAGCCCTTGCGGGCGCCCTCCGCCCGCTGTGCCCACAGCGTGGCTTCGGGACGGAGGAAGGCGACGGGTCACGGCGTCGCGGGGGGGTCGGTCGTTTGGGGCCGGTTGGTTGATGTGGTTTTCTGGGTGATTGGTTCGATTGGTCCATGTTGGTGAAAAACCCTATGCAAAAAGGTGTCTCAAACTCGGTTGACCTTCAAATTCACCAGTAGGTGTACCGCCACAAGGAGCAAATGCTTTGAGGGAAACAAACACAGCTCGGGCATTGGTCCCGCGGAAGGCGGGTGATATGCACTTTGCGTGGCCAGGGCCATAGATTGACCCGGGGGGGGCCAAACAGATGTGAAGCTCTGTTATCCAAAGTGTTGGTGGCTCCAAATTGCTGTGGCCAGAGAGCTATGGACAATGAGGGGGAAGATCACAGGTTTCATCCGGTGTGTTTCTTGATCAGTGGAGACCGGGGGTATGACCATCCTTTAAATCATGCACGTGTAGCAGTGTAGAGGTACAGTGATGGTGGGCTGTGGGAGAGGAGGATTGGCTGAAGTTGCCGATGAATGATTGAGGATGCCATTGAAGTTGACTAGGGGAGATACAGAGCAATATGGAGCAATCCAAAGCTTCGGAGGTCGGCTATCTTGACTGACACCTGGAGTACCAACAGACCCATACGTGCACATGTTCTTAGTGAAAGCATGGAAGTAGATAGCCTCACCCTTCAAAACACAGCTTTACAAGGCCCTGAAAAGCCGTTCCTCACCGCCAGGCTTTGCTGATTGCCCTCAACTACCCTGGCACCCCCGCGGAGCGGCGGTGCGGGCGGAATGACTTGGAGAGGGTCACACAGATCCTGTTGAGGCGCGAAATGGCGTGGAGATGGAGCAACATGCGTCGTTTCACATCACATCGTTTCACCGAACAGCCGAGGTGTTCTACACAAGGACGTACAAAAGCAGTGCCCACTTTCCCTACTAGCATAATCGATTGGCGAGGGCCTCCAATATACTGCCGATGGCCTCCAACCTACTAGCGATGGCCTCCAACCTACTAGCGATGGCCTCCGACCTAATAGCGTCAAAGGTGATCCTGTCGATTTTCCGGTCGATGCATCTGACTTCCCTGGGGTGTCCATTCTGGGAACAGGAAGGCTGTCATGCCAATGACCGCCGGACCGCCATGACTGAGGTCTGTTCTCATGATGAATCAGGTGTACGATACCCTGAGTTTCGAAGAGTGTTTGCTTTCTTCGGCTTCAATTAAGAAATTTGGCCGTGAGGTGTTGTCTAGGCTTACCAACCGGAATAATCCGCATGCAAGCTGCTAGATTACCAGCTCAAGCGTTAGCTTAGGGGGGAGCGCTATTTTGGCCGGGAAATAGTGTGTTTGTGACATTTGTGAGTATGTTTGTTTATTCTTTTTGAAGATGGAGACAAATTCATATGGTTTCGGATTCGCGATGCCGGTTACGCCGCCCGGGGGGAGACTGCGCTATCGACATCGCGGACGCGTGTTCGCCCAGGTAGGCTTATTTCTGATGCATCTGTCTACTAGCACCACCCCTGCTACAGCCACAATGAAATTTCCCGGCTCTGAGAGCACAAGTATCCGCGCGGGCGGCTTTGACCGCGAAGCGGTGTGAATATTTATATAATGGTTTGGTAGAGAATCAATTGCAATTACTACGTCACTACATCCGAGTGCTTCGAAGGGCACCTAGTTTTTTTCTTGGTTGTCGATTCCTGGTGCAGAACACAAACCAGCATGCAATTAGACTCATCTGCATTAGGTTCCTGCTCTGCCTAACAGCGCCAGCATGTGTTCGCCCCACCAGAAATGTTACTATCAGCATCTATTTGCCACAGACCTCTGAACCCTGCTATGCCCAGACTGTTGACCCCAATGAGTACTGTAGGGCTGCAGGAAAGGGAAGGACAGGGATTTCCAGCCATGTCGAGGCTCACAGACAGTCACGTAATGTCCAAGTCATCCGGCTGCAGTTGAAAAAAATAACAAAGGAGTAAAACATAAGTGCTCTAGGTATAGACCATGATTACTGGCATTGAATTCATATAGTAGTAAGGTCGTCCAGAATGCCAAGCTTGTTTGGGAATGGCAAAGCATTTAGGTTCCATGGTTTTGGCCTCACTTTGTCAAGCAGGTTTTGGTTCTGTGAGATCCTTCCCTTTGCCGATGCCCAGCCATCTGTATACCTGTTCATTGTGAAGTTTCCAGACACGTCAGATGACTCTTTCGATGAGCACCAACTGGTTGCCAATCCCCCCCGCCAGAGCTGAGACAAACATTCGCACCTTGCACCGCATGGATCTTGAAGAAGGCTGCATCCTGCCCAATCTTCTCCGCAGGCTGGGATTCCAAGAGGAATGGATCTTGAAGCTCTCAGATTGTGAGCCCGGCACCGACCGCCGGGAGACCAAGGGTCGTGACGTGACCAGGTGTACGGAACACCGTGTCCAACCTGGATGCATGATGCAACAGTGTCCTACATTCCAGCACCAACAACACTCCAGTTGTTTGTCACACCAGTGCGGCCTGGCGATGACAGCACACACGGGATCCTTTGAAACAATGCAGAAACATTCAAGAATAGTTTGAAAAGGGGTGAGTTTGTTTTGTGGAGAAACGATGAATCACACAAGCATTCCAACAACATCGTGCGGAGCTACCGTTGGATTTGGGCCATCTATCTAAAGATCACTGGCAGCCCACCGAATTTGGCCAAGCTTCAAAGCTTTGCAGCTGGTGGGGAGTCCAAGTAGTATACATCGTATACATATCGTATACATGTAGCCAATGTTTGTGTGTTTTTTCCGGATGTTCTTTTCTCAGCTCCAAAACAGCCACTCAAGATTGCTCCGCGGTCCGGGGGGGGGCCGGGGTGTGGTCAAACCGTTTTTCCCCCCACCGGACGCCGGCGACAGGTCCCAGCAAGTCGAACTTCGTGGCGGCCTTACAGTGGTTGACCCACAACGTGGTCTCAGGACGGACGACGCGGCGTCTTGGACGCGGCCAGACACATGCGGTCGATGGCAACGCGGCGAGCTGGCGCGGCAAGGTTCTTGATTTGCCAGTCCTACAGTGCTCGGTATATATTACGATACGACATTATGACAATTGGATGATTTCTGGACCAAACAGCGCAAGTTTACGTGGTAAGTCCGTTGTGGTTGACGTCCGTGTTGGACGGCCAGAGCGGACTTCCGGGTCAGGAGACGTGCTGTTCTTCCATTACAGCGGCCACTCGGCGCTCCACGAGGAGGGGAACGCGCTGCTGGATGCCTACTGCCCCAGCGACTTCGCCGAGGCGGAACGGGGGACCAATCGTGATACAACTGGTGGCCAGCACGGGCGTAAGGGGGGGGAATTGACCGTTTTTCCTGCAAGGTTTGTGCGGTTTTGGTTGAAATCCTTTTGATTCCCCTCTGATTGCATTGATTATATAGTTGATTGGAAAATATGAGAAACGTTTAATTCGCTAAGTAGACAACAAAACGTCCGATTGATTAGACATGTGTTTGACAAAACACATGTCCTCGACCAAACTTTGTCGAGAGACATTTCTTTTGTGGACCCTGGCCCTAAGAAGTTCCTTTGCTGTAATTACTGGTAGTTTGTTTTTTTAATGGTTCTTTGGGTGAACAAACAGAGCATAGTAGCCTAACGGGTGCAATTCCTTGGAAAACGAAGCCGGGCAACTAAAAACGAAGCCTCAGTAGAAACGATCCAACTTTTGAACATGAATGTTGAGGCGTCGCTCAAATCAAGATCCAAAGAATTTAAAGAGACGGACTCTGTCCTTTCATCCAAGACATGCAGCACACGCTGACCTGCAGCGTTCATGATGGCCTTCGCATGGAGAGCAACTTGAGTCCCAAGGGCTCCCCCCCTCTCCACCAAGGCCATCCAGAGGCGAACAGAGAAATCAAACACAAAAGTTCATGCTCAGTCAGAACCAGATACTTGGTCGTTAGGCAGAGACTCTAACGGCGTCACATACTCCACTCCCACTTTCCTTCTGTTTCCATGCAAATCCATCAGGCGGGCCATTTGCCAAGTCGCGATTGCTATGAGCTAGTCTCTACCCTGCCGAAGGGAGTCCGGTTGACAATGCTGGTGGACTGCTGTGCTCCTTGGGCAAAACCTGCTCATCAAACGATCGACGCACTTGGGACGTCCTTCAGGGGGTGGATTTCAAGATCGTTGAGATTCATCAGCCTTGTCACGGAATGTGGTAGAGTAGTTGTCTATAGTCTATAGTCACATCACATTGAAGTAAAACCAGGTGTTCCTCCTGCATGGTTTTTTCTCGGCAATGCCTATGGCCCACCCACACCAAGGTTCCCTGCAACCACCGAGGTTCCCTGCTCCTGTCCGCAGCTGCCCTTCCAGTGGAACGCACAGAGCCTCCAATGGAGCGAAGACGCCGACGCCTCGTCGTTGGCGCCCACGGCGGCGGCGGACATCGTGGGCTTGGGTGGGGCCTCAGAGGCAGAGATGAGCCCGGAGCAACTGACAGAGGCAGGCGGTCCAGTCGCTGAGGGATGGAGCTTGGGTTGGAGTATGTTGGAATAAGAACTTGTACGCTATCAAGTGGGCGCGGAGGAACAGAAGGGTGATAAGCTATGGTGGATCAGTTGGGTGGATGGAGGCCTGGCAACAAGGCAAAGTGATTTAACACCCAGCTACCATGGGACAAAAGAATAAGGGGCAGTGCATCAATGCTTATTACCTTAGTTTGTTTGGCATGCCAGGTAGTGTAGGATTAGGATGCATTTCCTCAACAGTACCACACATATTGTGTTCATAACCGGCTTGCACTTGCACTCAAAAAAATGTACCTTTATATCCATTTCTATCCTGTCTTGATACTGTACATGTTGCAAGATCCACGGCTTCAATGATTTCCCCGATGTCCACTGCATAGAAGACCAAACAACAACCTGGTGTGGTTCGGTGATATTTGTGGTGCGCAGAATCATGGCATAACTGAATTGAACACCCATGACCGAGCGATCCCAGTTTATGTTTTGGGGTGGGCGGTGAATTTTTTGGGATGACCAAGGTGCCATGACCCACGACAAGATGATGTTCAAAGACTCTTTGACCAGAATCGCTGGGGGGGGGATGACCCTACGCCGTTCCCACTCTGCTGGCGTCCAGCTGAGGCGTTGCGGGCAGAGCAGGGGCCCATCACTGAAGCATTCCTGCAGGCGATGCAGGCGGCTCCCCTGGTCCGTGTGGGGTCGCCTTTGGGATCCTGGGTCGCCCTGCTTCGCTGGGACGAGAACGATGGAAGTGGATGGCGGTAAACCCTGTTTCTAGAGGAAAGTCGTCTTCCAAGGGACCATGCCATCCACGTAACCATGTTAGTGAGTCAGAGTGTAGATCCACGGACTTGGGCTTGCTGTCAGCAAACCCAACTCCTTGGAAAGTCGTACTGTATGAGAAGGGCAGGAAACCAATGATGTTAGGCTTATGTTTCCTTCAAGCTCCTCTTAGTGTACTGCAATTCTGGCCCAGCGCGTTCATGTCTCTTTCCGGAAGAATCGGTTGCTGCCACCAATTGAGTGTGACTCGGTTACTAATTATCTGCGAATTGCCAGAGAATCAAGTTCGCACTTGTTCACATCGATTCATCCAAGAGGAAACTCAAATGCTTTGTTCACATTAACTAATTCTGGCCATCCCAATCCGACACGGTCAAAAACAACGCTTCAATTGAAGAAAGTGATCGGTTTCCACCAACGCCAACGCACCAGTCGAAGCACCAGTCATCGTGTTGGCGCCGGATCGCGCGGGTGTTTGGGCGGTTCCGCCGGGCCCGACCAAACCGCTGTTCCGCGCCGGTGACGCGCGGAACGTGCGCCGGTTTCGTGGAGCACCAGGAGCTGGCGGCCCGGCGGAAGGGCCCGGTGACCTTTGCTGAGTTGCTGGAAGGCGCCTCTCTGCGGCTGCAAGGCGGGGGGTCAGAAGATGCATCGGCCCATTGGGCACAACATGGCCTGGACAGAAGGCATGGAAGGCATGGGATGTTGGAGATTTTTAGGGGGTGGACTTAGGAGACTTGCAAGTCTGGTAAGTTGCAAATAGAACAAGTTCTGACATGGAGCTCTCAATACTACACCCATTGATCATGCATCCTTTTGTTCAAGCCTCAATTAATTACGAGGATGTCCCTGCTAAACCTTGTTCCTGGCCACAACATGTTTGAACTCCACGTGGTGAGTGGAGTGCCATGTTAAAAAAAAAAAAAAATTGAGATGAAGGTGGACCCCTGGACAGCTGAAAACAGACTTATGGATGTGTGGAAGAGGCTGATTGCTGGAAAACATGATGTTTTCTGTGTCCTTTCTAGCTGGCTGTTTGCTGCGGTTCAACTCAACAGCCTTCATGCTTTTGCATGCTTTTGCTACCATCGCTCCATGTGGCTACAGAATACTATATCATACAGATCAGTAAACTTCTACAGAACCTGTTTATCCATTTGCAATATTGAAAAGTCCATTAGCTTTGAGTCCAAACAAAACAAGTGCAATGTCCCGTTTCATGTCTCTCCTCCGCAACAAGAAGCAGTGCTATTAAGCTAACACTCCCCACTTGCTGTTCTGCACGAATTGCAAGAAGAACAGCCATCACCAATTTGAAACCCCAAGCAAGAAAACCAGCCAATCACGCAGCATCCTTCTCGAAACCGGCTCAAAAACACACGCTTCTCGAGACCGGTCTGCTCCTCGGCTCGGTTTCCCCGGACACGACGACCGCCCAGGCACGGCGCACGCGTTCTTGCAGCTCTCGGCTACGCGGCTCTTCGATCCCAAGAGCCGCAGCTTCCGCTTCTTCGATGCCATCGAGTGAGGCGGCGTCGCCGCGCAGGTAAACGCGGGACGGAGGATGACGCGTTTTGGGGGCGTCGAGGACCTGTTGGACGCGACGGAGGATGACGGAGGTGGGGGTCGAGTTGGTTTCAAGGGGAAGGGGGAAGCTGCAGGGAGGGACCAAGGCTTCTGTGGAGAATCCTCTTGCCTCTTGCTTGGATGGTTGTTTAATTTGGTACCAGTTCTTGATTGCATGTTCTTATAATGTTCTTGCTATGCACACAAAAAGGATCCTCCAGTGACAAAGGAGGTACTCTCAATTGAGCAGTGTTCTGTTATCGAATGAAGGAGTTTAGACAAGACTGGCACTCACTAAATGTCCGCGAAGGCATTGATGTGATACATTATGTCATTGTGTGTTGCCAAGGCTCACGAAGGCACTTGCGTAGGCTTCACAATTTGGCAAGTTTAGATTCATTGATTGGCAGTAAGAAGGGCCAAAGCCACTTGGAATCCGCGAAGCCTTGCAAAGCCAATCTTCCCTGCGAAGCCTCCAGCGTTGGCATTCCAGCAGTGTATGTAGGCACTTGATTTTGATGTTCAATCTCACAAAATGTGGTTCAATCTCCAAGAGACTCGCCTTCAACGAGATATCATGGATGGGTCCTTCTGGTGATTTCGCCGACCATCCATGTATGGAATATATGCCTACATCGACCCCTTTCAACACTCCAAACATGTCCTACCAACCGGTAGTTGCCTCTCAAGTAGTATTTCATGATCCACTGTTCCGAAAGTCTACCGGTTTTGACACACTCCAAAGTCTACTCGTTCAGATCCACGTGGAAGTCCAGTGAAGCAGATGACAGATGTCCCTTCTGTGAAAGGAATATAATATGATCCCTTCATTGAGCGGATTGCGTTGAAAGCTGCGGTGCCGGTGCTCGCGTTGTCAGGAGCTACTCCATCTCGATGGAGTGAGTGGCGTCCGCTCAGGTGAGCGGAGGTTTTAGACTGGCGACCACTGGACCACTGGATCGATCCACTATGACCGAAACAGACCGTGGTTTAGCTTTAATAGGACCGCGGATCGCCCATCTCGCCGGCTGGGTAGACGCCCGTCGATTTCCGTCCCCACAGTCAGTCCTGGGAGGTCTCCCAATTTCATTGTGCATTCGTTTGGTGTTGAATCGATTTCAACTGTGTTGGTTAGATCGAAGAAGTTGGCCTGGCTTTGTTTGTTCCGCTGTCCTCCTCAGCCGACGAGAGGGTGGATGTTCCAAGAGTGTCGCGGTCGCTGGCACCGACGAAGTGCCCATTTCACTCGAGAAAAAAGTGCCGGGAGCGCCAGAAGCGGAAGAGTTAGACCACTTTGAAACGTGTGACGTGCTGGGGTTGATGGTACTTGCTCTATCACGGTTATCATTGTCTTCCGGATTTTCCAGTTGGTAGATGTTGCGAAGTGGGACTAGCTACACTTCAGACCCTTGTAGAACCTAACGGATGGCAGGTGGACCTTCAAGCCCAACAGCCACCAGCCACGCCCCTGGTAGAACACGGGGACCGACCCCATCCTAGCGCGGTGTTTCACCACCAGGCGCGGCTGATGGAGTTTCATAGCCCTATGGAGCTGACCATGATCATCAACGCGCCTCCGCAGCACGTGCTTTTTGCGGGCAGAACGTGGCACGCAGAGCACGTGCTTTTTGCGGGCAGAGCGGAGTGGGAGTGGGACGAAACCCTGTCGGGGATGTGGCCGAGATCCAGAATCCGCCCTGTGCCACCCTTCTACCAAGATGTACATGACCATGCATCCATGGGACTGCCATATTTGCCTACATTGGGGTGGTTCGGGGGGATCAATGTAGGCATATATTATACTATATTATCATATATGATTAAATCATATTAAATTATAATTTATATATCATATATTTCAAACATGGAATGTCTGGGATGAATGACTTGTCCTGCTCAAATATGGTGTTAGTTTTTTGATCTGAAAACAACTCATCCCAAGCCACAGTTCCCCTACTCCTCCACCCACCCGGACAGCCAAAATGAAACGACATGTCGCGCCTGCTGAGACCTCGCTTCACAGTCTGTGAAACCTCCCAGTGGTCCGAAGTTCCAAAGCTTGTCAACAAGCGGACATCATCTTTAGAATTCCATCCTTTGGACATCATGGTGTTCTCGAGGAAAACCAGACAATCCGTGTTTTTTTTACATTTTTTACCATGCATGTGAGTCTTTGGGATTGCCGACTTCGACCCATTGATACCAACCTCGGTTCCAACCCTCGGCTGCTAAGCAGCTGGGTACGGGCGGAACAACCCCCCTTCTGAGGCCGCGAGCAAGTTGCGCATCAGCGATGAGGAGCTCTACCATCGCTTCGTGGCCCATGACATGACTTGAAACGTAGCCGGTCGTCGGAACGTAGCCGGTAGCATCCGGCTACGCCCGGTAGCATCCGGTCTCGCTGTCGCATCTCTCAGTCCATGGAACTACCGGCCGTTCCAGCAGGGTGGCAGGGGCCCTGGGGGTCCTGCCTGCGACGCGGCACAGAGCCTTGCGAAAACGAAGTTGGAGTTGTTCAAACGGCGGCGACATGCTACCATGGAGAAGCAGGTATTATATGGTAACGTACCGCTTGCCTTGTCTCATGCCCAACACTATCACGATTGCCTCCCCTTGAACAATGGACCTGTGTGAACAACAGCGTATACCATAGAAAGCACCTCACATACCTGGCGAGGCGCTTGGTGAATTTGTGCTACTTCACTTCCTGAAATCTCCCAGGATTCGGTCGTTACACCTGGATCCCTTGGGCTCCTTGTTCGGTCGCAAGAAGTAATAACCAGGGCAGGGCAATGATTGCCTGGAACCAACAAGGAGCCAAGGAGCAATGGAACAAAACCATCAGGATCCCTGGAACCTTACTTGAGTTTGTTGAGGGAAATGGTTAGCCGTTAGCCTGTCTTCCGCATGTTTTCCCCAATTGCACTGGGAGAAGCAGTTCTGCCATAAGCCAACTTGGCTGTCACAAGACATCCACTGACGTTTCCCTCATAGTGGAAGTTGAGATTGTTCTCCAAATGAGTCCAAACGAATTAAAACCCTTTCGCTTCCTGGCAGGTGACGCACATTCAGTCTCGCCTGGGCCCGAGTGTGGGGCCGGAAAAACACGGGTGGTCCCATGGCATGCTGAACCTTGACACCATGTAGAAATCACGTTGTTCTTTACGACAAGATCGGCCCAGATCGGCCAGCTGCTACTGTATGCCTTGGTGTGGCACTGAAGACCATGTTCTCCTGGTCCAAAGCATTCCAAAGCATTGAGAATGCACAGTAGGTCACCATAGCTTTAAGCCTTCTAAGGCTTAAAAAGCCAAGTTGGAAGCAAGATCAATGTATCCCAACTCACAACAGCGCTCGAGTCTTGGGGTAGAAGAAATGCCCGTGGGTTGAGCCCATGGTCGTTCGCTTCTCAAGTTCGGTATTGCAAATTAGTTTCCTCCGTCTACACTCGTTGAATTAGCACCAAAATGTGCGTTTACTTACCTCGAAAGCTGTACACTGTAAACTAAAGAAACAACCATGAAGGAAAACAACATTTGTAAGCATTAACATAATTGCATTGCGTATAATTGCTTGTTCGAGCGACAGCCATAAATGACATGCTTTCAGGCATGGGCACTGAAGCCTTTCATGTCCGCGATATTTCCGCAGGGATGCCCAGCCCAGCCACAGATGATTGTACGTGGGAGGATTTTGGAGGAAGAGCCAGAGGGCCTTGAGTCAGATCAGATGAACATTTGGGTGGGGGTTTAAGATATTCTTATTCAACCTTTTCTTGTGATAATTGAACACACACACACACACTCTCTCGAGATAAGAGTTCGTACCACATGCGGCTTGCCACTCGAAGAAGGTGACTGCCGACTCAAACAGATGCAATGGCCAGAGTTCTTGTTCTAGTTGAGAACAGGACCAAGTGAGGAGTGAAGGTCGTTAAACGCAGTTATATATGTCACTGGACATCTCCAGTGATATCACAGAATGTCAGTCTCTACACCTGCAGCCTCCACGTTGGCAGAGACGGGCTGTACTTTGGTACAGCACGAATAGCAGGGGGATGTGACTCCTTGCTCCCGTCATGGTGTAATGGAAGACAAAAAAAAAAGAGCCCAAAAAGAAAATGGATTGAAGAAGAGAATCTTGAAAAGAAAGGTTCAAAAGAGTACAAGAAAGCGAAGAAGGGCCAAAATCGGTGGAATTGGTTGACTTTCCACCTGGTTTGGTTTCTTTTTCTTTCTTTCCTTCCTTGTTCGGAAGGGTTTGTGGTGCCTTGGGCTGCATGTAAACCCGGCCCTTATGGGCCCCACGAGTGGGGCTGCAACGTCTCCTGCCATGGTTCGGTGGAGGAGTTAGGGCCTTGCGCTGCAGCTGTGCCGCGGCCTGCCACTGCACTTGGGATCCTTTGGCCTGCGCTGTCTGGGCCTCCTTTGGCCAACTTCTCTGAGCTGGTGGCTCTTGCAGCTGTTGGACCGCCGCAAATTTCGGAACAGGTTACTTTGCTACCAGGGCAGTTTGGGCTCTCTTTGGCCACTGTGCGGCAATGTGTAAACCCTGTTTTTTCCTTGTATCTTTGGGTGATTTGGTTTCTCTCTGGGATTTCTGGGTGGGGGTACCTTTGGGTCCTCGAGCCTCTTGGTTGGCACCTTTTCTCAAAGTGGTGGGGCAGGTTTTTTCCTGCTCGGAAGAGGTGTTGTCGCGTTGCCCGCCGTTGTGGACGACGTCGTGCGGTAGGCCCACGACTTGGTTGGAAATCACGAAATCATGATAGGATGAAATGCTGTTCTACCCGTCAGCGCCTTCGAAACGTGCTGATCGCTCGAGACCGAGCCCAGAACTGCTCGCGGTTTTCACCCCAGTGGGTCCTTGATGGTCTCTTAAGTCAATCTAAAAGATTGGTTTCACAATTCAAAGCTGCGGATGTTTTTATTCCCCCGGTTCCCGCCGAACTTGTGGGAGTTGGGAACAGAGGAGGGGCAGGGGGTGCTCATGCCACTGCTAGAAAGCGGCAAGAGCGCTCGGAGGTTGATCAATTGTTATTAGATGGCATGCAGGCTTTGCTTCTTGACGTTCAAGCTAAGCTTTCGTCGCAACAGGCTTTGCATTCTGGCAAAGGTAAAGGCAAAGGGAAAGGTAAAGGGAAAGGGGTGCAAGGGCCTCCTGCTGGAGGCAAACTTGGCCAACCCTCGCAAAAAGACCCCGTCGAGTCCGGGCTTGTTGGGGCTCTTACTCGTTTACTCGCTCGTGCTCAGAAGAAACCGCAGGGTTTGTTGGATCGATTGATTGCCTTAGTTGAGGCGGCTCGCAAGGGTCAATTCTTGGAACCTCACCAAAAACAACGATCGAATGCGTCTACTGGGGCGAAAGGGAAAAATAAAAAGGATGAATCTTCTACTGGAAAGGGTAATGTGCGACCTGTTGGGACTCCGCTTGAAGATTCCCCCACTGAGGAATCTTCTTGGATTCAAGTGCTTAAGGGAAAGAAGGTGTATCAAGGCCAAGGCAGTGGGCAGCCTTCAAAGCTGCGACTGCGTCCCGCTGATTGGCCTAACACTCATCTTGTTTCTGACCCTGCTCAGTTGGGACCTATGGTTGACAAACTTGGAACTTCGACCCCGTTTGTCATCCTTGTTGACAATGAAACTACCCTGGCGGGAATTGCTGAAATTATCGCGGGGGATACCAATATAAAAGCCTCTGTGCTGTTACCAGTTCGTCCTGGTACCAAGATCACACTGGCGACGCTGCCTTCTTGGATTTTTCACGAAACCCGAATTCCCTTGACGGAAGAAAGCGGTAAAGTGGTCACGCGAAATGTTGCTAAGTGGAGTAACATACAAGCTGATGCTTTGAAATCTTCAGTGAGAGTCATTGTTCCCACTGATAGCAGACCTGGGAAGGCCTCGTTTGAGGAATTCCGGAAAAATTCTGTTGTGATACGTTTTACTTTGGACTCTCGTTTCACTGATTCCAAGACCTGGACGAAAATCCAAAAGTCTCCGGGGACGTGCGCCCGACGTTGGATCACTGGGGTTGCCCCCAGTGTCAAACATGGGTTCCTCGATTCTTGGAGCTGGGAACTCCAATCTGGTGCTGGAGGCGCCGAAAGTGTGGTTAAGGGGCTTATTCGTGTTCCTAAGGACAAGCAAGTTGGACTCCTTTTAACCGCTAGTGGACGCTCATCTGATGGGATGCGTTGGTTTTTAGATCCTTTGGACTGGAATGCCACACCTGCGGAAGGGTGGGGGACCAAACCCTTCATTAGCTGGATCGAAAGAAACCAAGGTGAAACTTGGCCGGCGTATGCTGGACGGGTTGCTAAGCACGCTGCGTCTCATGGGGTTGCGAGGGGCTGGCGCCAGTTGGGTCTTCGGTCTATGACCAAACCTGCTGACAATGCCTCTAGTAGCCCTAAAGCGTGGTCACTGCGAGCTGCTCCTCGTTTTTGGCAGCTTGAACAGGTTGAGAGTTTCCTGACTGCCTCTGGTTTTTCTCAAATCACTTTCACCACCAAGCGTTGGGAACGTAGTGGTACCACCTGGGGGTTTAAGGCCATCCACAGTGGGGATCAGACGTATATGCAATTGCTTTATGATGGGGATTCTTTTGAGGATGGAAAATTTGTTGTGGTGGAGAGGTTTTTTCATTTTGGTAAAGGTCTCCACACCACCAAGTTAAAGGGTGAATTTAGCGTTCAATTGGGAAAGGGTCCTTCCAAGGTTCCTGACCCCCCTTTGGTCCCTCCTTCGGATGATGGCAATCTGGGTTCGGATGCGAGCCATGATTCTGCTCGTGTCAAAGAAGGCCAACATCAGACCGCTGAGGGTGATGCTGAAATGACTGAGTCTCAGGATGGTACTAAGCGAAGTGCTGAGCCTGGTACCAGTCCTGAGAAAAAGAAGAAACGGAGTGTTGCGCACCCTCTTCCTGCCGGGGCGAAACGTCTTTCTAACGATGGACAAGGAAACTGTTTGTTTGAAAGTGTGGCACAAGGCCTCAAGCTTACGGGTGGAGGGGACCATCATCACAGATCCGTGCGTGCTGCTACGGCCTCTCATCTGAAGCGACATCGAGACAAGTACTTTTTGTTTTGGGATCACAAAGACACTATGGATAAAACCATGTCGGACACCACTATTAATGGATTTGATCAATACATTCTGCAAATTGCTCGAATTGGTAGTTGGGGAGGTAACCTTGAAGTTGCTGCTCTGGCTGCGACTTTAGACCGTCCTATTCACTGTATCCACGAGACTGGACAAATATATACTTTTAACAGTGAGGGTGCCAACAAAGACCTGTTTCTGTACTACCTGAAATGGGGTCACTACGAATGCCTGGAGGTCCAGGCTGAGACTGCTTTGCAAATCCGGACTAAGGCTTTGCCTGGACGACCCGCTGGGGGTCGCGAAAACAAAGGGGGAGGTTCTGGTCGACCTCCGTCAAGTCCCGCGCCTTCCTTGGGTGGTTGCACTAAACATAGTGGTTCACAAGATGCTCTTGCTAAAAGAAGTGGACTGAGACCGCAGGCCACTTCAGGAGGGGATTCGGAAGAATATCAATCTGGATCCACGAAACGGTCCAAACGAAGTTTTCATGATTCACTTTCTGGAAACACTTCTTGTGTTAAATCCTTTAAGGGATCTCTGGGGGGGTCACACTCGGTTTTCTAATCCTGGTGGTAGTAGCACTGACAAAAAATCATTCGGGAAACTTGTTGAGGGGTCGCTTGGTAGACACACGGCCTTACCCGCTCGTGTTGACGCTGATGAACAGGTTGTCCCGTCTTCTTTTGGTTCCTCGAAGTCTTCTGCTGTGGGTCAATGTTCTGGTTTGGGTGAACAAACCAAGAAAGGTAGCATCCGTTCTCAGGGTTTAAAGAAGGACAAATCGGTTCTGGTGGAAGCTCGCAGATCTTCGTCTTCCCGTGGGCCTGCGCGTTTCTCCAACACGCGAGATGATGCGGAGGTGGCTGGGAACCCGTTATTGGTTGGAAAACGTGCCCCTAAGACTAGCTGGACTTGCAATTTGTGCAAAACGACCTTCGTTGGCAGTGGTGCTAGCAAGCGCTCTCTGACTATGAAAAGGGCTAACCATATTGCTGCTAGGCATGCTCATGAAAAGGAGAAAGTGTTTACTATGCGGGAATATAGTGTTCCGGTTGAAGCCAGTGACAAGCTTCCCTTAGGTGAAAGAGATTGGGTTTGCCCGTTTTGTCCTAAGGCTTTGCCGGCCTTGCCTGCCTCGTTAAAGACCCAGTCCGTGCAACATCATTATCGGACGCAGCACCCGAGACGCAAAACCGGCGCTGCTCGTCTGAATGCCCTTCGATGGAAACTGGCCAAAAAGGATCCTGCTAAAGTGGTCAACTTTAGAGATGCCAAAAAACAGGTTGGGAAAAAGCTGCAACAAAGGGCTTTAGCTCGCAAAGACTTGAAGCAAAAGGGGCATGAGCTGGTCCCGGTTTCAGTGGATTGGTCTTCTTGGCCCTTGGTTTCGGCCAAGCAACGCAGTCGTACTGCTTTCCTGTATACTTGTGTGAAATGTCGCACTTGGACACGAGGGAACTACCACCGTCGCTGCCTTGGTTTGCGGAAAGTTCCTCTGGTTGTGCAATCAAGTGCTTGGAAACGGTTGGGCGCCTGCCCTC